ATCTTTTTCTTTTTATTTGAAACATTGCTGGTTTATGAATAGAATGGAAGCATTTACATGTTTTCCTTACCTGATCTCTCTGAAATTCAGAAAGTATTTGTGAATATTTCTATTTTTAGCGGCAAAATTATTATTTGTATACGTTTAGGATACAGTTAGAAATGTTGGCTTTGACTGAGATACCTTATTTGCAAATGTGCTTAGAATGTCTAGCTTAAAGGGTTCCCAGTTTCACAGTAAGTAAAAATGATCACTTCCTGGTAAGTCCAGGAAGCTCAAACTATTAGCTACTGCGGGCAGAGTCTGACTGCCTAGGGTTGGCTTCCTGCCATTGAAAGATTTTTTAAAGTCTAATTGGGGGGGCCAACAGGTGGTCTGGTAGTTAAGGTGCTGGAGTCCCACATGGCCAACCATGGTTTGAGTCCTGGACCTCATGGCTTGCTTTCTCACTTTCCCTGTCTCTCTCTCTGTGCAAATTAAAACAAACAAACAAACAAACAAAAGCACAAATAAAATAAATAATTAAAAAAAATCTGATCAGGCTAGCAGATGGCATGGTGGTTAAGGTGCAGGACTCTCACATGGCTGACCAGGGGTTGAGTCCTGGACCTGGTGGCTTAAGAGTCATGCTGAGTGTATGTGTGTGCATGCATGCCCCAAATCCCAGGAGAATGGAGGAGAAGGTACTGTGCCTTGGCCATTGCCTCCTGGGGGAGCTGGTGGTGGTGATTTTTCACTTTCCCTCTCACTATCAGTCTCTTTCCAGTAAGCGCACATGCCCTATGGCAAAAACCTAAAGTCTAATCAGAAATTCCTTATGGAAACATTCCAGTAAAGCCAATTTAAAAGAGCCTGTATGTTCAGTCAGCATTGCAGCTTATCTGACTAATCTTAAATTGTAGCACTGTTTATTGTTTTTGAGTTTTTATGATTTTCCTACAGACCGGATTGGGTTTTGAATTTGAATTTTCTCTAATAACTGGCTATAGTTCTAACCAAGAACAAAAACTGCTCAATTCCTGATGCCTGTATAGAAGCTAGACAACTCAATGTACATGTCAAGGGACAAATCTCTTGTCTGCTATGGCCACTCAGAGAATTCACCAGAATGCCCAATGTCACACACAGCCAGAGACATTCAAACTACAGACCAGGTGAGACATTTCCAACTACATGCTGTGGACAGCTTTTCTCAAGACGTTGGAACAAGATTCTCGAGCTTAAGATTTTTACCGCTCTTTAATATTGGGTAATTGGGCAAGTCATGATGCATATTTGCATAGAAAAACATAGAAAAATACCTCATGATTTTCCCAACAACCTAATATTTTCTTATGTTTACCTCTTTCATTATCCTTGGCAGGATAATGCCGTAGTTAGAATTTCACAATCAGTAGCTTTTGCAGGGTATGCAAATGATCACTCCTTGCTTTAATTTAACCTAAGTCCTGATAGAGTTGCTACCTATTAACTGAACAGAGAGGAATATGTGCAGATGCTAATACTTATTTTTATATAGGGATAAATAGATTGAGTATTATAGAGACTCAGTTGTAAAAATTTAGGAGTAGGCTACTTGTGAAAAAAGATAAACTCCTTGTCTAGCTCATTCTTTGACCTATCTGGTTTTAGTTTGGTTCATAGGACCCTGACCAAAGTGCAGATCCTGAACACTTGATATTATCCTCCTGATAGTCATAATAGTAGTATTCCTGC